AAATATCTTAAAAGAAAGAAAATATTATCTCTTTATATTCTCATCCCTTGTTTTCACGAGTTCAAACTGCTCGTTCTCAAAAAACGAGTATCGCGACTTCTATATCCCCGCCACGAAATCCCCAAAATTACGCGAACCGCGTTTCCGATGCGGGAAACACGATACGCGCATGCATTTAGGTAGCACGCCAGTGACCTTAACAAGGCGCGCTAATAAAGCAAACGCGTCGCACGAGTCGAGATCAGAAAGCGCGCGCTGCACGCTCGTAATCCGGCCGGCGCGGCTTTCGGTCCTCTCCGACGCGGATCGGCCGTCGCCGACAATGTTCGGTAGTCTTCGCGGGGGCGGTGGGGGCCGTTTTGCTGTCAAAAGGGAGGGAGATGGTGTCAGATGGTTAGAGGGGAGGAGGGAGCAAAGGGTGAGGCACTCGGCCATCATCAGCGGAGGCGCGTAGTTCAGTGACCCTCCGCATCGTCGCGTGAAGAAGGGGGGCGCGGGGAATTCTGACATATTGTGAGATGCCAGCCCGCTAACGCCGGTCCCCGAAAAACATCTCTCTCCGTCTCTCTCTCTATCTCGCTTTCGCTCTTTCCTTCCTTTGGTTCACGCTCGTTCTGTCTCTGTCTCTTCTACTGATATTTTCTCTTTCTCTCTTTTATCCGCGACGTGCGGGCGTACACGCACTCTCTCTCTCTCTCTCTCTTTCTCTCTCTCTTTTTCTCTCTCATTCACTCCTTCCTCGACACGTTACTGCCACCGCGGCTCGTCAGAACCCCCGAAATATTCATACCGCCAGTCGTGAACTTTCCGCGAGTTTTTCCGGCCGTGTGCGCGAGCGTGAGCAAAGAGGTCGGTGTTCTCTTCGCAAGAGAGACAGATACAAGTGAGGAAGAGGAAGAGAGAGGACGTAGACGCGCCGCGTGTACGCTCGTTCTTCGCTCGCGCGATCATACACACTCCGAGTGTCTCTCCGAAATTCTCGATCGCTCGAAGAAATCTGATTGCGGCCGCGAGTGTTTCGATGCCGTACGACGCATGTTAACACATTATATATGTACATGGACAAATTCTTGCTCTCCCCTCACTTTTCCAGAGCTTGTCCTCTACTGTTTGCTTCATTCCCTATTCATCATTGTATCAGTTTCTTCGTAACATTCTCCGGGATTTCTTCGTCATCTCTTCCTTCAGACACGCGGGCATTGAACGCAAGTACGCCGTGTTCCTCCGTTTATACTAAATAGAGAATTTCTTATCTGATCGACGAAAAATCGATTCGCGAAAGTGCCCATCGTCTTTTTCCACTTTTCGTCAACTTTGTGTTCTCCATCCGCTTATCGCATAAAAATCGCGAATATGGTATATGTATGTGCGTTCGCATGTCATGCGAAATGTATGCGACGTAGACACGAAGTGTAATCGAGTTGTGCGATTAGAAGGTCTCCAGGTGAAAAATACCACGAGGAAGAGTGCGTGTATACGCATGTATATGCGTGACTCCATACTTTTCTGTTGCGCTTGCGCGCTATTCGCGTCGCGCGATTGCACTTTGGACGAAAGATTTGTTCATCTCTACGGGGACAAGATTCGAAGAAAAATCAAATTTCACTTTGCAATGGGAAGTTTATGTTCAACATTATTGACGAACTCTATGCTTACGTGAATATGTTTACATTTCTTATTGCGTCTATCAACGTGGAATAACGTGCATAAATTCTGTGGGAATCGCTATGAGAATTTCTAGAAATTTCATCTTCAAGAGAAATCTAAATCAACGATCGTGCATCGCAGTTGAATATAACGATCTTGAAACATCTTTCGAAAATTATTCTTGCACGACTGTTTTATCCGAGATGTTATTTAAAAAATATAGTCACACACATACACACACACACATAATTCTATTTTCAAAAATGTTCTCTCGATATCGTAAAGTTATATTGTAATAGTTTCCGCGGAGAAGTTACATATAATTTGTAGGAAATATTTATTTATTGTAAACATACTTGGCACTATATTGCATTTTTTTAACTCATTGTTAGTTGAATAAAGCTTACTATAACAAAGAAAATAGTCGATTTGTGGTCCGGAAAATTAAAATAAAATTTGTAGATTAACAATAGACAATAGCAAGAATATAGACAATCATATGTGTACATACCATTCACGTGTAATTTAAATTTATATATTTTAAGAAGTAATTGTGAGAGAGAGAGAGAGAAAGGGACATTGCATTAAATATTAATAAAAACAACCTGTGTATTTAGATCAGTTAAAAAAGAAGATCGTATAACGCGCTATAGTGAGCATTGTGCAGATACGTATTATATTGTTGTGATAAACATACGGTTCTAGAAAAAAAAAACGAGACTAAAGTCGCTACAACATAAGAAAAACATAAGATAAATCGAACAGAAAATTACATCGCTAGACTCTCTAAAATTAGAATAAAAAAAGAATTCTCTCGCGGTGTTAACTATTTTTATCATTATTGAAAAAAGATTATCGAGGCAAGTTGAAGAAAATAAAGCGCAAGATGATAACGCAACATAATTTGAAAGAGAAATATCAAAAGTACTCCTCGCAGATAATAGATATATCATAAGGAATAAAATCAATTGGATATATATAGAAAAAAAATTTATTTAAATTGATTTTTAATATGCTCTATTTTATTATACACAGATATTAAACGTGATACATCATTTAAATGTTATTCTATATCTGTTATATATGAAGCCAGAGATCATGTGTCATTTTTGTATTTACTATTTAATGAATATCTAAAAATTGCATTGCATATAGAATTGCAACGATATATCGACGGTCGTTTCGATTTCGGGAGTTCCGGGTATAACGCTGTCGGCCACGCCGTTATGCCGCTGCACGCTGCGCTCTCCGCATGACGCATGTCGAAGATGCGAGCGTGCCGGGTGACTGTACTCTGGGTTCATCGTTCTCGGTTATGTAATGTTCGGCCGCGTACGTATGGTGCAAGCGCCTCGACGCTCTGCTCGTGGCGCTAGAGTTGCCGGACGGGAGAGGCGCGATATATATCCAAACGGGTGGCTGGCCGCACGCACCGAATCCACGCTTCCGCGCGCGCACACACACACGTGTGAGTCATCTTCCACGTCTCTTTCGACCGACCCGCCCGCCCCCTTTCGCTTTACGAAACTGCTTTTGCATCGGGCTTTTCTGTTTCTGCGCACCACCCAAGTCTCTCATTTTATACGATTTTTTCGATCTCGGGAATCGTCGATCTAATTCCTCGGAAAGTTGAAGGAATAATTGCAGAGCGTTACACGAATTGAAAATTTGCTTTCACATTTCTTTATTTTTATATAAAGGACATGCATTTCGTATTAAAAATATATGCAGAGTGAAAATTCAATTTGAAAAAAAATTGTAAGAAAAATTATTAAAATATCTCAATATTTAATAGACAGATTATATTTTTTTTCGATTTATCGGTCAGAGATTCGGAAAAAGGTACTTCAATCTGTAAATTTGACATGTGAACCAAAGAAATGTAGTTCATATTAGTGTCTATTAGAAATCGAATTAAATTACGATAGCACAGTGTCTGTCTACATATTATTATCTTCCTCATTGTTGATAAGCGAACGAAGAATTGGAATCGAACTCTAACAGATAACGAAAACGATAGACTTTGAGACTCGCCAATCATCTCGCTTATATATAAATATTATTTTTTGCGAAATAGAACTTAAAGAGGCAATATTTGATCTTTTTATCTTATACATATATATGTTCAAAGCTTATATATATATTATATACAATCCTTTTATTTTGGATTTTCTAATTATTTGTTTCCTCTCTGTAGAAATGTAATACTCTTATACTTTTTATAATAAATATAAGAAAATGACTTACAATTAGATTAATTTAGCAAAATAAATATATAATTGAATATTAAAAAATATTAAATACTAATAAAAATTTAATTCTCGGAATCTTTTTCACCGTTTCAAATTAATTTCAATTTTTTAAACACTTAATCAAAACTTTAACAATGGCTACACGTTTTTTTTTAGAACACCATATAAAAAGCAAATGTAAATTTAATTGTGCGATTTTACGACAAAGACTAATTAAAGACTAATCAAGAACGTCCTTTCGACGGACGACTGATTTCGATTACAATCACACGTACAGATCTACAGGATCGAACCGCGAGAAATAAATTGTTCCAACGATAAATCGTAAATGAAATCAGCAAGAAAGATTCGTAAATGGAAGGAAGTCTGTCAGGATTTGGCGGGCCTACGTGGGGTGCGGATAGTACGAGTCCTCAGTCGACGGAAAGATCGAGAGAGAGATCCGCGCAGCCTCCCACCGGCACTGACAGCGCGATCCTCGACGATCGTAGATTGCCAGCCAATTCGATACGAGGTAGAATTATTAAAGAAAAAGAAGATTTATGAAAAACGCAATCGGGCTGTTGAATCAAACTTTGCTTACAAATGCATAATATATAATATAAATTACATTTTATTCTGACATTAAGTACATTGAATTTATTAGAATTTATATCGATTTTAATTCCGAAACTATAGTTTAGAAAATATTGTCATATTACTCAAGAATTTTTTTTATTGTCTTATGGTTAGAGGAAGAAAAAAGATGCTTTACAATACATGTATATTCTTAAAGAAAGATTTATATACTTTGACATATAAATTAAAAGAATTTTTTTAAGTTTTATATTAATTGGGTGAAGCAAAGAGAGAAAAATGTGAAATATACTGAAAAGTAAAGAAGAGAGAGGAAGATTATATGCAAATGTATATAACTCATTGGTTGGTACATCACTAAATACACACATGTATATACACACGTGAGTTTTGAAGTTCTCTCGATGTAAAATACTTGAAATAAAACATGAAAGATTGCGGCGGCCTGTAAGGCGAAAGTTTTCACAAGACATCTTGTCGCAGAAAATCTCATAATTGAAATATTCGTCTTTTTTATAATTGCAGCCCAGATCGAGATAATCCCGTGCAAGGTGTGCGGGGACAAGAGCAGCGGCGTGCATTACGGCGTGATCACCTGCGAGGGCTGCAAGGGCTTTTTCAGGCGGTCGCAGTCGTCGGTCGTCAACTATCAATGTCCGCGGAACAAGAATTGTGTGGTCGACCGTGTAAACAGAAACCGGTGCCAGTACTGTCGGTTGCAAAAGTGCCTACGCCTCGGCATGTCAAGAGATGGTGAGTGCTCTCGACTGTTTCTTTCGTCACCTTCTTTTAAAAAGACAAATGATCTTGTCGTTCTGCGTAAATTTTGAATGGGAAGATTTAAAAGCTTATCGTATAAAAATTATTTCTACACCATATAAAATATTATAATATATATATATTCCTTTTTCTTTGGATGTCTACATACAGTAAAACTCTTTTTTCGTTTGCAAAAAAAATCAATGAATATATATAAGAAGATAATCATTTATAACATCTATAACATATCTATAACAAATCTTAGAAGAATTGGAAATTATATTCATGCATCTCTCAAATGCGCGATATTTTATGCTTATGTGATTCTTAATCGGCATCAAACAAAAAGTTTGCAGCGATATACAAGTTCTACGGGACTCGCGTGAAACATAGTTCAGCATCACACGAGCTCTTTAAAAAGCTTCTTTGTTCGAAGGACTATCGCGCGTGGACGCGATATTGCGACATACGCGAACAACACCGATGACTGATATTTACGCGACGTGCAGATAATAACGCAATATAAACGAGTGATGTGACGAGAAAAAATGCACCGCAAAATGTGTATAATATTTCATGCATTATTTTCGTATCTAATTTAAAAATTTTCATCATATTTTTATTTATATTTAAAATCCTAACAAGAAACATAATATTGTATATATATATATATATATATTAAACTCAACTTTCAACTCTTGAAAACTATATACAAATCAATCTAATTAACTCAGAATTAAATAGTAAAATATTGTATTGTTTAGTTCTTTAAATTTTTAATGAATTAAGTAATGAGTGAAGAAGAAACTGATTGATTATTAGTAACGATTTATTGCGTAATGGAGCATCAACAAACGGTGCACTCAAAAAAGTGGTATTGCAACTACAGCAAATCTCAATCATTTTTACGATAATCGATCTAAGTTGATTAACAAAATGATAAAACTTGTCATTATTTGTTGCATTGTAATGACATATCGAAATCGTTCGCTCGAGATACATCAGATGTACGCGGGCATAGAAAAGACGATGAACCGGATTCTTATCAACATATACGAGTACAGCAATGCGTTGTTGACATGTTGTGTGATTATCGCGGCAGATACATATAGCGTCTCAAAAGATCTATATTAAAAATGGAAATTTATTTTGCGGTGTGTAATAAAGTATTATCTAGGCGATGTGCAAGTTTTATATGAAATTATTCTAGCTACATATTATCCAAGACATTTATATAATAAATTTGAAAGTAAACCTTAAAGTTTTAATCGAAAATAAATGTAATCTTCTTGTTATATTAATGTGAAATGCATTTTTTTTTTTTACTACAAAACTAAATGGACTCGCAAAATTTATTGCAATGTACAGAGCGATTTATCATAAAAAAGAAAACTGACATTTTTTATGCAAACATTTGGCCCGAGGACATTTTAATTACAAATATTTTTCAGAATTGTGTTATTCGTCATCTTTTTTTTATACATCGTGGAGCAAAACAGTAGCATCAATTGAGCAAATTTGTTTCGTTTTTCGATCTCATGTCGCCAAGCATTTCTATACCGCTCGATAAATAAACCCGATCTGGCTCGCAGAGGTGCGGCATAAATTTTATATGCGCGAGCTATTTTTGTAACTTCGTGATTGTTACTTCCGTGAATCTAAATCAAGCATCAACGATCAAAAATCTTGAAAACATTGCAGATTACATTCAATATAGTTTATATGAAATTGTTAATAAAAAAATATTGCTTACAAACTAAGGAACAAACGAGATAAAACAAAACAATAAAACAAGTTTACATTTTATTATAATTGATTTAGAAAATCTTTGTTTAATATTAACGTGGCATTATTTGCTGTTGATTTTTCATGAATAATTTTAGATGGTTGCTATTTATTTCAAAATTTAATTAGGAGTTTCAAATCACTTTAAAAACAAATTTTGATGTAATCCATATCCAATTAAGTCTCTAGGAAATCAAAATCAGTTAAAAGATAACATTTTATTATTAGAAATGACTTTGCTGACACATTCTGCATATTTTAGAAGTTTGCCTTCTTTGAGTTATATATTTTTTCAATCCTTTCTTTTTCATAAAATTTAATTTTACACAATATATATATATGTATATATATATATTTTACATATAATTATATGTATAATATTTTTCATATACTATTACATTAACTTTAATTAATTTTGCGCAATATTAAACAAATAATATAATACGTCTTGCCGTCTTCACGGTCAGGCGATATTTAGCCGCGATATTCGGGCGTGACCGCAGTTTCCTGCTTTTCGGTCAATTATCATGGCTTTTTTATCTGGCTACGGATAAATAATATTGTTGACGGTGGTCGATGCGCGATTTGCGTTCGTTGAAAGCCCAGCTTTGAAATTATTCTTCATGCAAAAAGACAAAATCAATAAATAACCGATAAAATTTAACGATTGTATAATTAAAAACTGCATGGGTTGTTTATAAGTATATTAATTATAATGACAAGATGTCACGCTTGATTTTAACGAATCACCTATCATATAATAGCGAACTTGTTGATAATTATCAAATTTTATAAGATTTCTCGCGGAGAAATATACATATATGTGTGTTGAATATAAATAAAAATGTTGTTTGCAATAATAACACAATGCTTGAAATAAAACAAAATTTGACTCTATAGTACAGAAATTTCTCGTTTTTGATTATAATTAAAATATTTAAGATTTATTAAAATAATTTATTAGCTTGTATTAATAATTAAAATTTCATATCTAACATTCCAGATTTTAGCTATTAATGTATCATTAAATCATTGTTACATATATTATATTCTTTTATAATTTTGTCAATCTTACTATAATAATAAACCATATATATTTTAATAATAAATAATAATTTTAAATAAATATTCGAAAATAATTATGACAAATTACGCATATCTCAAACTAATGATAATTAATTAATTAATTAAATGGTATCGCATTCATTTGATATGTGTTTTATTGCTTTTATAATTATTTGTCATATTGAAGCATCTAAAATTGGATTTATTTAAATTTTACTAATTTTGATCTCTGTTTATTATATATATATATATATATATATATATGTATATATTATAAAATTATTTATATATATAGAGAGAGAGAGAGAGAGAGAGAGAGAGAGAGAGAGAGAGAGGCCTTGTGAAGAATTCAAACTTTTCTTTTAATAAATAAGAAATCGGATTGAAAGGATTAAACCAGGATTCAATACTGAAGTCTGTCTGGCCGTACATTTCAGATTCAGTATCGCTTTATTTACCCTCCGGCGCGATAAGCAGCAAACACATACATCGTTTCTACTGGACGTGCGCACGTATATAGAATACCAGAAAGTGCATCGTAAGCTACCGGTCGGTGTGCATACTCTTCCTGTTGCCATCTCTGTCTCTCTCTCCTTCCTACTCTCTTTGTCTCGTTCTCTCGTTCACACTTTATCCGCGTTCGGTCGATCACCCTCCTCTTCCTCCCTCTCCTCGCCGTGCCACCACATGATAGCTGTTCGGTTAGTAGTTGCTGACGTCGCTATCCCCCTTATCAACCTTTCGGTCCCCGCCCGTCATTTGAACCCTTAACCACCCTTGTGATACGCACGCGCGTGATTTTACGCATACAAGGATACACTGCAAATGCATTGATATCGTGTACATAATAGCAGAAATAATTTATTTTTTTTTAAATTATATTAGAAGACAATAAAAATAATGCAAATTGACGCTTTTCGATTGAGAAATACAATGCTAGTAATCAATAGTTTTAACACGACATGTAATAAGAAACATTTAATCAAAAATATTTAATAAGAAATATTATTTTCAAATTTTATTGTTATCAAATTAATTTATTTTGGGTTTCTTGGGCATTGTTTTTTTTTACTAATTTTTTAAATTAATTATATA